CCGGCTATGTTTTGTATTTTTAGTAGATGGGGGTTTCACCGTGTTGGTCAGGCTGATCTCGGACTCCTGACCCTGTGATCCACCCGCCAGAGCCTCCCAAAGTGCTGGGATTACAGGTGTGAGCCACCATGCCTGGCATAACTCAGATTTTAAAAAATAACACAGGAGCTGAAAATGTGCCAAGTAAAGTTGCACTGCATGCCTTCGTCCTCTAAACTAGGTGAGAGCCCAACCACGCTGTATAATCCTGGGACTAAAACAAAACCACATGGGAGGAGAACAGTGGCAGGGGCTCCTCTATATTTGATGGGCGTGGGGAATTTACCTGTTTGCCACTATCTTCAGGAACCTTCCAAAGGAGAAAAATCACTTAGTGTTGGTCACTAGAGCTAGTGATTTTTTTTTCCAAGAAGCTGGATATTACAACTTGATTTTTACTTCTCTCTCTTACAAATAATTAATATTTTGTTAGATCCTGTCCTAGGAAACCATGTTAGAGCTTCCAGTCCACATCCTTAATTCCACGGGCTTCACTCTCCCTTCTAGTTGTGGCACAAGTGACCACAACCATCACAGTCAGGTGCTGAGCATCGAAGCAAACACGTTTCTGTGTGTAGCACCACAGCCCTCTTCTCATTTGTTCATACAACCGTTTTATAAATTGAGGATCAATTATGTGTCCCAAGCATCAAATATTCAGCAGTGAACAAAGAAGTTAAAATCCCTTGTGGAATTGATATTATTTGGAGAAGACAATAAATAATATCAAACATACAGTGTAAATCAAATATACAAAATGTACAAAACCAAATATATAGTATAAATTAAATAGACAGTATATTAGGGATAGATGCTAGAGATAAAAATACAGGAAAAGGAGATAGGGAGACCAGGCAAGTCACCACAGAGCAGGTGGCATTGCATAAAAGTCTAAAGGAAGGAAGGAAGGAGGCTTGGGACTATGTATCAGAAGAGCGTTTCAGGCAAGGAGAACAGAAAAAACAAAGGCCCAGGAGAGGCCAGCGTGCCTGGACGGTAGTGAAGATTGGGGATTCCAGCCGGAGATGAGGTTGCAGGGTGAGGGCACATTAAGTGCCGACTTCCAGGTCACAGTTGGGACTTTGGATTTTCTTCTGAGTGCAATGGGAAGCAGACACTGTTTCGAAGAGCACCTACTTGCAGTTTTGAGATGATGCCTCTGGTTGCTGTGTTGTAGAGGAAAGAAGGAGTGAAACGATCAAAGCAGAGGCTGCTTGGAAGGCTGATGCATGGATCTAGGAGAAAGATGCTGGTGTCTTCGGGGAGGGTGGTGGCCGGGGAGAGATGAGAAGGGGTCAGATTTTGGATATTCTCTGAAGGCAGACCCAAAAGGATTTTCTGGCAGATCAGATTGCCAAGTGAGAGAAAGAGAGGAGTCGAGAAAAACTCTGAGATCTTTTGACCTGTATAGGCATCCCACCAAATCTAAAATCTTCAGACCTTGCTGATATTCCCAGGAGTTTAGGAAGCACATTAAAACATTAATGCCAATGATGCTGGAGTCTATATTCAAATTATTAATGCTTTATTTCTTTGCTTTCTTGATTGACACATATATGGTATATATAGTTTACCGAATATAACTTTCTTTATATCTGTTTCCACGTGCAAAATTATTTCTCTTACATAAAGAATACCCAACTTGTCTTAATTTTAAAACGAGAGATGTAGGCTGGGCACGGTTGCTCACACCTGTAATCCCAGCACATGGGAGGCCAAGGCAGGCAGATCACTTGAGGTCAAGAGTTCGAGACCAGCCTGGCCAACGTGGCAAAATCCCGTCTCTACTAAAAATACGAAAATTAGCCGGGTGCGGTGGCAGGCACCTATAATTCCAGCTACTCGGGAGGCTGAGGCAAGAGAGTCGCATGGACCCGGGAAGCAGAGGTTGCAGTGAGCCGAGATCGTGCCACTATACTCCAGCCTGGGTGACAGAGCAAGACTCTGTCTCAAAAAAAATAATAATAAAAATTAAATAAATAAATAAATAAATAAAACAAGAGATGCTACTGTCTTGGGCCAGGGTGGTGTTGGGGGAGAAGGGGTAAGAGTGGTCAAGCAGACTGTCTGACACACTGAATGGGAGGTATCAGAGAAAGACAAGATGTCTTAGTCAGCTTGGGCTGCTGTAACAAAGTATTAGGTGATGCAATTGCGATTAAAAGAAATGGCAAAAACCGCAATTACTTTTGCACCAACCTAACACCATAGACTGGGTGGCTTATAAACAACAGGAATTTATTTCTCAAAGTTCTGAAGGGTAGAAATCTGAGATCAGGGGGTCAGCATGGTAAGATTCTGGCGAGGGCTCCCTTCTGGGTTGCAGACTGCTTACTTCTTGTTGTATCCTCACTTGATGGAAAGAGACTGAGCTAGCTCTCTGGCCTCTTCTTATAAGGCACTAATCACATTCACGAGGGCTCCACCCTAATGACCTAATTACTTCCAACCAGGCTCCACCTCCTAATACCATCACTCGGGGGATCAGATTTCAACGTATGAATTTTTGTGGGGACAAAAACCTTCAATCCATAACAGAGGAGAAATAAAGAAAATAAATTGCCCCAATGTATTAATGGTAAGTGGATTTTTGTTGTTGTTTTGAGACAGAGTCTCTGTCACCCAGGCTGGAGTGTAGTGGCATATTTTTGGCTCACTGCAACCTCTGCCTCCCAGGTTCAAGTGATTCTCATGCCTCAGTCTCCAGAGTAGCTAGGACTACAGGAATGTGCCATCACACCCAACTCATTTTTTTGTAGTTTTAGTAGAGACGGGGTTTCACCATGTTGGCCAGGCTGGTCTCCAACTCCTGGCCTCAGGTGATCCACCCGCCTTGGCCTCTTAAAGTGCTGGGATTATAGACATGAGCCATCGCACCCCACCAGGTTTTTATCACTAACAAGAATGAAGAATAGTACATGATATCTTTGTGGGTGGGCTCATTTAACAATGATTTTCTAGTGTCTTCTTGGTGCCTAGGTGCTAGAGACATGTCAGTGAACAAGATGTACAGAAATCCCAAATCTCAGGGAGCTTACATTCTGGAGGGTGGAGACGAGTAATGTGTATGTAATATGCCAGATGATAAGTACTGAAGGCAGGAGCGTGGTGCGGGCGGCGGGGGGCGGGGGGCATGTATAGGCCTGGAAGGAAGGAGGATGGAAAGTACCAGGGGGATCCATATGTAGTAAATTCTTAGAATTTGTTAAATAATATATGGGGTTTATTCCTATGTCTACTTTTTAAACAGCTTGATATAGGGAAATGTATTCATGTAATCAATTTGACTACCAGTAAAATAGGCCACGGGTCACACACTTAGTATTTCTAGATTCTTCAGAGTATTAGAAATGAAGAATGAAGCATAGCACCCTTTGTAAGGGTAGTGGCCCTTGCGCACTTTGTGTACCCTGTAGGGATAACAAAGAATGCGCAGTAAACGGTACTTGGTTAGATGGTAGTCATTGCAGGCAATTGGCTTTAGACTTACACTTCATATAAGCTGTATTTAACCTACTCGGGTTGTCCTCATTAGGGCTTTTCACTTGGAACGCTATTATAGCAATAATATATTGTATTTTTAGCATCTTATATAAAGTTTCCCACAAATGCCCAAGTTATATAATCAGCTCCCCCTCGGCCCCCCCACCCCCGGCTTTCTTTCAGCTTCCCACAGTTTTACAGTAGGGGCAAGGAGGTGTGAGTGCAATAGGGGATCCCTGTACAGTGACTGCAGGTGTTCAGGTCTCAGAGACTGGTTCCCCCTCTCTAAACAGGGATGGGTACGCACCAACAAAATGTGTTTCTTGATACCCTTCTCTTCTATTCTCAGCCCTCACCTGCTGTTACATTTTCAGCAGGTATCACATTGCTGTGTTCCTCAGTCTGGGAGACGCTCTGTCTCCTCTTATTGTGTTCAAACCAAGCCCTGGGGCTTGGCTCCAGAGGCAGAAGGCACCTTAGGGGTAGTTCCAGTTCCCTCTTTCTACAGATAGCAAATGAGGCCCAGGGAACCCAGGTGACTTCTTCCCTGGCATAGAGGCATAAATACAGTCAGCACCAGGTGTCCAGATTCCCTCGCTGGTATGACTTCTATGAAACTAGCAGCTTCTCAGATCTCAATTTTCTCATATATATATAATGAGAAGTATGACAAGGTGGTCTCTAGAGCCCCCTCCATCTGTGTATTGTGTTGAAAAATGCTATTGGGGACCAGGCATGGTGGTTTATGCCTCTAATCCCAGCACACTGGGAGGTTGAGGCAGGGAAATTGCTTGAGGCCAGGAGTTTGAGACCAGCCTGGCAACATAACGGGGCCCGCTTCTACAACGAGTTTAAAAAAAAAAAAAAAAAGCAATTTGCTGGACAGAGAGGCATGCGTCTATAGTCCCAGCTTCTCGGAGAGGCTGAGGTGGGAGATCACTTGAGCCAGGAGGTCAAGGCTGCAGTGAGCTATATACTCACTATGCACTGTAGCCTGGGTGACAAAGCTAGATTGTGTCAAAAAGAAAAAGCTATTGGGTAGGTACTGTTTATATGAAATGTTATAGTTTACTCTCTTTGAATAGAACATTATCAACTGAAATGAATCAGGAATGGGACGTATTTTGCTTGGACTGACAAATTCAGTTTCTTTTTTAATAAGAATGTAAAGAAACAAATGGTAAATTCACCCACAGCAAAAAAAAAAAAAGAAAAAGAAAAAAAAAAGAAAAAAAAAAAGAGGTTCAAATACACATCTTCAGCGGAGTTGTATACAAGAAAAGTGCTGTGTTATGTTACTCTTAAATAGGAGTTTACCAAACTATATCAGGAAAAGTCTTATGGTGTGGCAGTAGGAGGCAGGGATAAGCAGGCAATGATGGTGATAAGCATTTTCCAAATTAGGAAACAGATACGCTTTTCTTCTTACTCTCTTACATAACTGATCTATTTTAGAAGACAACACTCAAAAACCGAAACAGAATACAAATCTCATGATTTTACTACTTTGTTAGCAAAGAATGACACAAGCAAGTAATGCGAAGGAAAAGGAGAGCTCTTCACTCCATTGTACTTCTCCCAGCCAGGGGCAGTTTAGCAGGATTCCCTCTTCTCCATCACAGCCTGCTGGGTGACTCAGAGACCTAAATTTTAGGAAATGAAAGTAGAAGGACACTAATTTTTCTCACTTTTGAATTTAAACAAGCAGTCACATTATCGTGCAACTTTGGGTGGCAGAGAATGATGGAAGGGTGACCTGTGACAGTGCCAGTGACTGCTTTGCCTAGACTTCCTGATTCAGAGGGAAGTTATGCAGCACACAAAGGCCACAGCGGCAGTACAGCCTCTTACATAAATAAGTTACATAAATGAGAACAAGTTATGTAAATGTATAAACCAGCAAACATGAATTATAACCATTCACAAATGCCAAGGAGAACACGGTAAGATTCCTCCTACGGTCCCATTTTTTTCTCCTGCACATTATCATAATTGTGCCATTTTATTTCACATCAGAATCAGATGTGGTTATCTGTCATATTTATTAGGGAAAGGAACGCCAAAGGACAAATAATACTTCACATTACTTTTCTGAACCACATATTGTACTTTTGGCAGAAATCCCGTAATAGAACCCGACTTTATATTTGAAAAGAAGTTTATGAGTGTTTATTAATTTATTATGCTCCTTGTAATAAACATGAACACATTATTTACTATTGTACATTTTGCAAGTTGCCATTAAGAACAAGAATGCATTACAAAAATGAATGTGCGTGTACACATGGATATTTGTTATATTATTTGTGATTTCAAGTCTCAAGGGAGTATGTGGACATCAGATGAAAGTCACTGTTCTGCTTGTTGAGGGAAGGTAGTAATTTCGGGGGTTAGGATTGGATTTAAGGTTATCTCATGACTTAATCCCAGTGCTTCCCACGCCAAATGCTGAGGAGGTGCTCCTTGGATCTAGCTGCAATTTGCTTCAGGTGCAATGTGAATGATAAATGAACTTGTTTCTGTCTGCATCCTGTTGGAACAGGAGGCTTGGCTTTTTCTCAAGCACCTCTTTTTTATTCATTCCCTTTAGGGTAATATATCTCTATCTTTTCTGACGTTACACGACTTGCTCATTGTGTAGTGAAAACACATTAACTCAAAACATTTTTTAGCCTTAATTGCCGTTCCTTATAAAGAGAAATATTAAACTTATACCATTTTCAGACATACTATGCTCAGGTGAACTTTCCAATTAGCAACTTCCTTTACTTTGACAATCTATTTCTATGAAATATTACTATTATTTTATTAAATATTATATATGATCAGTCTAACGTAGTAACATAATAGTGGAATAGACGTGATCTTAAAATCTATATTAGCTGTGTGATTTTTGACAAATAACTTTCCCTCTGTTTCCCATCATTTGAAAAAGGACTAAAAGTTCTAAGTGACTCCTAACATTAACAATCTAATACCCTATAATCAAATCTATAAATATTTTCAGCGGAGAGCTTTAAACTTGCCGCTGTGAAGTTTAAGGGAAATAGCACCTATTATATATCAACCCCATCATTTTCTTCTGTTGGCAAAACTGCAGACCCTGCTTGGGTTGTAGTAATACGGTGACCGCCACGTGAAAAACATTTTTCTCGGTGTTTTCTTTTAAATATGCCAACTATAGACTTTAACCAGCTGTAAGGCAGTGCCTGAGGTGTGGAGACACCTGAGGAACTGTGTGGGCTTTCTCCCTCGAGGTGGGCCTACGATGAGTTTTAAGCAAAGGGCAGCAGTCACCTGGCACCAGGAAAAACTCCTTGCCCTCTGGAGGGAGTCGCCCCAGGAACGTGGGTTTTGTGTTCCTGTTTCAAGTTGAGTCCTCTAGAACCGAAGAGTCCCAGTCATCTGCCGAAGGTGCCCTCCCAGGCCCCCTGCTTGGGAGCGCCCACCTGGAACCTGGGCATAGAGGAATGAAAATGCAGACCCGCACAAGCGTGAGGACACGCCGGGAGACCCCCGCCCGCCAGGAGTTGGGGCAGGTCCGGCTTGGGCGGGGGCGTCGGGGGAGGGGTGGTGACCCTGAGTCCCGCGCGGCAAGGGCGCGGGCCACCGCAGGTGGGGGCGTCGGCGAGCAGGCAAGCGGGGACGGAGACTCTGGGCTCCATCGGGCTTTGTTCCGTCACGAGCCGAGCCCTCCTTTCCGGAGAAGCCAATTAGATCTCCGACGGAGGAATCATCCGACCTGCGCCCCCGCCGGGAGGGGGCTCGGGAGGGGCGGGGCCCAGCGCTTGGCTCCTCGCGAGCGCGGCCGCGGGCTGCGTGGGGGAGTCCCGGCGCCGTCGCCGAGCCCGGCCCCGCCCTCGCCAGGCCCCGCCCTCGGGGCTTCCCGGGCGCGCGCCGCCCCGCCGTGTCCGCGCGCCACGCCCCCCTGCTCGCGGGCCGCGTGCGGAGCCGCGCGCCCGGGAGGCTCCCGGACCGTGGCGGCGGGCGGCGGCAGCGCAGCCCTCCGCGGGCCATGTCCTCTCCGGCGGTGGCGAGGAGTTCCCCGGGAGGGAGTCGGGAGATGGCCCCGGCGCCGCAGGGCCGAGGCCGGTTCTGGGAAGTGGGCGGCGGCAGCGGCCTTCGGCTGGAGCGCGCGGCCGCGGAGTCGGAGCGCTGGGAACTGCTGCTCCGCCGCGGGGAGCTGCTGGCGCTGGGCGGCCACCTGAAGGGCGCGCTGGAGGCGTTCGCGGCGGCGCTGCGCCGCGGGGCCCCGGCCAGGCCCGAGTGCCTGGGCGCCCTGGTGGACTGCCTGGTGTTCAACTACCGGCTCCGCCACGGGCTGAGCTGGAGCGCGGCCCCGGCTGCGGGCGCGGACGGCGGCGCCTGCGGGCTCCTCAGATGCCTGGGCTGCCGGGGCTTCCTGAGCGAGCCGGTGACCGTGCCCTGTGGCCACAGCTACTGCCGCCGCTGCCTGCGGAGGGAACTCCGCGCCCGCTGCCGCCTCTGCCGGGACCGGCTGCCGCCCGCCACCGCCAGTGCCACTGATGCTGAAGGGACCGCCCCGCGGCCGCCGCCTCTGGCAGCCGCCATCGCCGCCTCAGACTTCAGAACCAGCGTCGTCCTCAACCACCTGGCCGAGAAGTGGTTCCCGGGCCAGCGCGAGCGGGCCCGGGCGGCTGGCAGACTCGGGGAGCTGCTACACCAGGGGCGCTACCGGGAGGCCCTGGCCGCCGCCTGCGAGGCGCTGCGAGCAGGTGACCGCGCGGGGATGCGGCGGGGCCGGGCCGACCGCACCCTCCTGGCCCCGAGGGCCGGGGACCCGGAGCTTGTCTGCGTCCCGGGAGTCTCCTCTGCTTCCCCGGGGCCGCTGGGCCACTGGCGTGTTGGGTCTCGGGGTGCTGGGGGGTGTGGGAGGGGGCGGCGCCCCGGGGTGCTTCGGTCACAATGGGGATCGCCCTGGGAGCCGACTGTGACGCAGCGCGGGGAGGGGCGCTCGGCGCGGGGTTCCCTCGGCCGCGGCCTGGCCGTCGGGCGCGCGCTCCGGGCGCGGAGTGGGTGACCGGAGCCGTGGGTGCCCCGGCGCGGGATGGGTGGGAGCTGGGCTATCCCGAGCGGCCGCTCGCTTCCTGCCGCGCGCTTTCCGGGAATTGACTCTCTCGCGCCAGGCCCGCCGCGGGGAAACGACTGCCGGGGTGGGGAGAGAATCCCCCACGAGGACAACTAGGCCGGGAAGGTGGCGTCTCCCTTCCTCACCCACAAAAGTCACCGGGACAATTGGGAGCCGCGGGAGGGCAGAATTGCATAAGCTGGGGGCGGGGGTCGTTGTGTAACGGGTGACGTCCGGTGGGCGTGGCGGGAGCTCCGGGCGGGCACCCGGCCCCGGGAGGCCCCGCAGGCCGCCGGGCTTGGGGCGCGGGGCGGAGCTGCCCCGGGTGGTCCCTTGCTACCTGGAAATGCCTGAACTGGTTTCTCTCGAAAGTTTCAGCCGGCCTGTTTCAGATCATGCTTATTTCCTATGTACTTTGCAGTGCACCTAGCTTATGGTAAAGATGAGAGGGGCTTCCTGATCCAGAGTTCTTTGCCATGCTTCTCTTGGCCGTTCCACTTAGGATCAAGCTGTGGGGAAAGGCCTTGTGGGTCTTGAGTGCATTTCTTAGTCTCCAAGAAGCAGCCTCGGCCTCCTAACCTAGGTTAGCTAGCACTTTCTTCTTAAGGTGGTTTTAGGCGCTGAAAGGGGGCAGTGTCAAGCTTCTCTTATGTAAAAGGAAGAGTTGTTCTTTAAATCAGTAGTTCTTTACCAGCAGGATTTACCTCCCCTCTCTCAGGGGACATTATCTAGAGCAATATCTGGAGACATTTTTGGTTGCCACCTCTTGTGGGGGTGGTGCTGGTACCGACATCTAGTGGGAGAGGCCCGGGGTGCTGCTCAGACATCCTATGAGGCACAGCAGGATTCCCACAACAAAGAATTATCAGGCCCCAAGTGCCACTGTTGATAAACCTTGTGTTACGCGTATTTCAAGATTTTAGTGTCTATCCATTGGCATGATAGTTGGGGGAATGGCATGATAGTTGGGGGATAGTTGGGGGAATAATCCCCAAGAAAATAGACATCTAGAATAGCAGCTGACTTTAGGTATTACAGGTAAATTTATAGACTGTGTAACTGAAAGGATCATCTTTCGGGTCATCTTTTGTCCCAAGTGCTTAGTCATATTGAACTTACGTCAAGATCTTGCATTGTTTAATATCTTCAGAGTTCGAAGCACAAACACCGGAGATTTTTGTATTCTTTCAGTGCCTTTATGAGGAGTAGGCAGTTATAAAATAGAAAGATAGGCTCAGAACAAAAGAAAAGTGTTTGGAACACAGAATTCTGATACGGATGACTCTGTCCCTCTGGGTGAATAAAGAGAAGAGAAACTGGACTCAGCTGTACAGACCATCTAGTAACTGACCATGGTATGATTTTTAAAGCAAAGAAGCAGATGCCAGGCAGTGAAGACTTGCGCACAGTCACAGTGTTAACTGGTTGAGAGGCAGCGCTGTATCTTCCACTTCTCCTAAACGTTGGTCTAGGGTTCATCCTGCCTTATAGCTTATCTGATGAAAATGTTTATTATACATATCCAAAGAAGTTTTTTTGGTCACTGAGGCTGAAACTTATGGACAGTACTACTGATACAGTGATTCGACCTTAAATTAGGTGTTTCACAAGAATCCAGGTCCTGGGCCATGGAAGAACAGTGAACATATTTGCTAATTGAGGTCTAGCTTAACATTTTGTGACCAATAATAATTAACAGAGATTTTAGTTCTTGTATCGAGGATGTTATGTTTAACAGGAAAAGGCTCTGAAAGATGTAATCTCTGCTTTTTACAAGCTGCATAGATTGCACGTGGGGATTTTGTGCACTTAGCAACTTAATTCTACTCTTGCAGGAATAGAACCCACGTCTTCTGACTTTCACTTCATTAGCTAATTTTTTCCTCATTTTTAGTTCTTTCAAGAATCATTAATTCCATACTTGAAAATGTCCGAATGGCACGAATGAGGATAAGTTTTTTAAATCTTTTGAATTATTAATGTGAAGTAAAATGGGAAAAAAATCTCAGAGCTATTAGAGTTGGTAAAGGGCCGATTTATAAGTGTTTCACAATTTATGGGTGTAAATCAAAATGTTAACGAGTGCAGTCATAATCCATTTGTATGATCGTTAGGCTTTAACTTCTTTGGAATTGGCAAGTTAGGCATTTGACATGTATTTATATAACTGTACAGTTGTAGTTATTAATGACCCTGTCATTATTGATAATGAAAAAAAGATCTTCACTATAATTTTTTTCATGTAATTCTTATAATGAAACAAATAAATACTATTAACTAGAAAAAATCTAGTCTGCAGTTAGCCCACACACATCCAAACTTATCTCTGCCAGCAGCAAAAGAAAGCTTGAAAACCTTTGCCAAAATCAGAAGTTTCCCATTTAGATTACATAAGTTTCTGTTGAATTGAAATATATTTAGATAACATTTAAACCATTGATCTTTTGGTATTAACTCTCAGATGTTTCATAACTTTCTGTCTTTTTAGTATTCAAGGATATTATGTAAAGTTTTTTCTGCACTGAATCTCTGTACTTGAGCCTATTGAAATGATCCCACTAAGCCATGCTGTCTGCCTTTTGTGTTTAACGTTTTTTTACACTGACTTGTCTCCTTCGTGTGTTCACCTCTCCCCTAAAAGAAGACAACAGAACAGTATAATTTACAATTTGTACAGGTTAAAAGAAAAATAAAGGTTATAAGGGGGAGAACATTTTGTTTTAAAATATTTGGGTAAGGAAAATTTTGTCTTTAATATTAATTCTGTAATCCTTGACCAGGCATGGTGGCTCACACCTGTAATCCCAGCACTTTGGGAGACCGAGGTGGACGCATCAGTTGAGGCCAGGAGTTCGAGACTAGCCTGGCCAACATGGTGAAACCCTGTATCTACCAAAAATAGAAAAAATTAGCCAGGCGTGGTGGTGCGTGCCTGTAGTTCCAGCTACCGCAGAGGCTGGGGCAGGAGAATTGCTTGAACCCTGGAGGTGGAGCTTGCAGTGAGCAGAGACCACACCACTGCACACCAGCCTGGGCAACAGAGCAAGACTCAGTCTCAAAAAATAAAAATAAAAAATAAATAAAAATAAAAATATGATCCTTGACTGTTACCCAGTACTTTTACATTATTCATATTAATATCATTTGATCTTCACAGAGAATTCTATGGAGTACCATAATATTATCCTCAGAGGGAAACTGAGGCACCTATGGATAGACATGCAATGTGGCTTAGTGATTAAAGCTCTGCATGCTGGAAGCTGACACCTGGCTTCCATTCCCAACACAGCCCTCGGCTCTCTCCGACCTTGTGCATGTTGCCTAACCTCTCTGTGTTTTGGTTTCCTTATCTGAAAAATGAGAATAGTCTCTACCTCATAGGGTGTTGTGAGAATCAAATGAGTAAAAACATGCTAAGTGCTTTAAATAGTGCCTGACACAGAGTAATGCCCAGTAAATATTGATTAAATATTTTTAAAATGTAGAAGTGTGTTTTGGCCAGAAGGTGATTTTGCTGAAACTGGAATCTAAACCTTGAGATTTTACGTCCTGTTCTGTTCTGTCACTTGGTAGAGAGTAAAGATTACATCCCGATTTTAGTTTACACATGTTAACTAGCAGTTTAGCATTCATCAATAAACTATAGATACTGAAAAGCTTTAGCTATCAGAAGATCAGTCAAATTATAGGTAAATACTGAATACATTTAAAGAA